AGAGTGGTGTACTTGCGTACACATCATCTTGGTCTCCGATGTGTTCGGTGTACCCTTTTGCTACGATCCTTGCTCGTACTTCATCTCCTTTGGATCTGTAGACCCATCTTGACTCTATGATGTTGTCGAGATCAAGTTCTTGTCTTTGTTGAGGTGTAAGCTTTGTAACATCTACCTCCTCGTACACTCCTTGTGTTCTCATGGATTCCATCTCCTTTTGCATTCCTTGCTTCAACTTCTCTGTATCGAATCCTTCGTTGTTGTAGATGTGAGGCTCGAGTAGCCTCTGTTCTGCTCGTACCTCCTGTGGATCTTCACTTGTTGCTGTTGTAATCTTCTTGCCGCTCTTCAATGCAACTGTAACTGCATTGATTCTCAATCTTGGTCTTGTACTGTCTCTCTCCTTTGTCTCTTCTGGTCTCGCTGGTGCTTGCTGTGTTGTACTTTGCTTTCTGCTCTTGCTTGCACTTCCTTCATGTACTTGGTCGTCCACTGGTCTGGTTGGTGAGCCTGTTGGCATTGGTGATGTTCCCAACCTCATTGCTGTAGAGTGTGTTGACGTTGATGCTGAAGCTGTGCTTTGCTGTTGTTCTTCGACTCTTTGTTTCTTTGTTGTCTCTGTTCTTGCTTTCTTTGCTTCTGTGTCTGCTTCCTTTGTGTCGGTAGCATGCTTTGCTGCTGTTGTTGGTTGATTGCCTGTACTCGTTTCTCCTTGTGGTGTTTGCCCTGCCTGGACTTGTTGCTCTGTTGATGCTGGTGTTGGTGGTAGTATGAAAGCTGGCTGGAATCCAATTGGTGGTGTAGGATTCCATGGTGTGCCAGTGATTGTGTCCATCAATTGGTCATCGTACCTGTTTGTACCTGCTAGTCGTCTGATTGTACGTGAGCGTACAATTCTGCCTGCAATGCCAATGAAGGACTCTCCAGTGGATGTACATTTGCCGAGCCAAATGCCTTTGTAGAACCTGGGTTCAAGCTTTGGTCGTTGTTTGATCGACTGTACCATGTACATCACAGTCTCTCCAAATTCACAGAGAGCTGCATTGTGTGTTCGTCCCCATCTTTTGTGGTAGCTGGTGTAGCCATCTGCTCTGATGAGGAATCTGTTGATCAGGTATGCTGAGTGTCGTACTGCCCAAGCCATGATTGGGTGTGTTGTCGGCAGTCTTGTGTTGTAGTTCTGCTGTACCTGTGTCCTGAGTGTCCTAATGTGGCCAGCAAGGGTACGGTGGAATCTTTCGATGCTGCCACTGCTTTGTGAGCTGTATGCTGGTGCAAAACGCACTGTCATGTTGCCCGTTGCTTTGGCTGTAGCTCTAAGGAGCGCCATCAGGTATTCTTCTTGGTCACTTTGTAGTATGCCTTCTGCTCTTCCACATTCAAGAATGAATGCTTGTAGACATGCCTGTGCATAGGCAAACTGTCCTTTCTTGTCCGTAAGCATTGTTGCCATTGCCATGCCGGTCTGTATGTCTATGGCTGTCAGGATTGGTACCGGCCATTTGTCTTCATAGGTCTTGATGTAGGTGAAATCAACTTGTATGATTGGCTGTTTCGATGTTTGCTGTTGGTGGCTTGTCTGTCTGCCGCGAGATTGTATGCACACAGGACACCAACTCCTGTATGGCATGTGTGTAAGGTTGTGCTGTTGTATCTCCTGCGGTGTAGGTTGTACCGGTTGCATCATTGCTTTCGCTTTGTTTGCGCTCTGTTGTTCATCTTCTTCTTCTGTTGGCATTTCTTCTCTATATTCTCTTCTTTCTTCAAAGGTTGTAGATCCTGTCCATTCTTGTTGTCTTGTTGGTTGTGGTTCTGTAGTCCAATCGTCTTCGATTCTTCTCATGTTGTGCTCCTCTCGTATGTGTGTTGCTCTGTATGGGAGCAGTTTGTAGACATCTGGTCCATTGTCTTCAGGCGTCGGTGTGTAGAACTCTGTCCTTGGTCTCACATGTACTCTCTTCCAAAACCTTCCTTCTTTGATCCAGTAGTCTGTTGTACCATCCATCTGCATTGGTGTTGGTAGTGTGTCTTCTTTCTCTTGCTGCTTGTACGTGTGTCTGTACTTCACTTCCTTTCTTTCATCCATTCGTTTCTGAACTTGTTGTTCCTTGTTTGTATCCTGTTTCTGTTGGCCTGTTGTTGTCTTGTCAGGAAGAATCCTGAACCATGTTTCTCCTTGCCATTGTGTACCTGTAACCTCTCTGTTTGCTTCCTGTTTAGTGAGTGACTTGAACTTGTCTTCAAGCACTGTCTGCGTACCGTTTTCCTTGTAGACAATTGTTTTCCTGTAGTCGTCCAGTCTGTCAAATTGTACTGGACATGCTGATTGGTTGCCGTATCCTGGTGTGAACAATGCCTTTCTTCCTCTCTTGTGTACCCTGACCAGGTATCCTTGTTCGTTGTACTTCCAGAAGTCGTTGTTGCCTCCTTGCTGAGGTCGTGGTCCTGTTGCTGTAAGTGTGTGTGTGTTGGGGCAATCATTGCCACTTGTCCTTGTGGAGTGTTTTGTATCACCAGTTTTGTTCCTTCTTCCATTGGTGCTGTTTCCAGGTGGACGTAGAGTAGTCTGTCTTTACTTGTAAGTGGTGCCTGAAACACATCTCCTTTCTGTAGTGTAGACTCTGTACCTCTGAGGTTGAGTTCGAAACCTTGTTCCAGGAGTCTTGTAACACTAACGATGGGGTGTCGTATGCCATCTATGACGCAGAATGGCATCACCAAGTATTGTCCTTGTATGTTCTTGAAGCGCACCCATCTGTAGCCAAGAACCCAAAGGGGCTCATCTGTAACTGAGCGAAGTGGTGGTGTTTGTTCCTCTGTAAGAGGCATCAGTGGAAAGTCTGTACCAAAGGTTGGTGGACAGACATGTACTGCTGCGCCACTGTCGATCATGAGCTCGACTGTCTTGTAGGTGTTGAGGCCTGTGGTTGTGACTGAGGCAATTGTAGTTGTTCCAAACTCTACTGTGGAAACTACCTGCGCTGGTGCTGTAGGCATCTGTGGTGGCTGTTGTTCCTGGTTGTATGCCGCTTGCTGTTGCTGGTCATATTGCCACTGTTGGTGATCTGGGAACCATTGTTCCTCGTAGTGCCACTGTTCTTGTTCTGTCCATGGTTGTTGGTAGTATGACTGTTGTTGGTTGTACTGGTCTGTGCCTTCATCCATGTCTGTGACGTTGTAGACTGCCACTCTGCAGTCCCTTGCATAGTGGCCCTGTTGACCACATTTGTAACATGTTCCTTTTCCTTTGCCTTTGTTCATTGTTGTACTTTGCCATTGTGGTGGTCCTTTTCCTTTGCTCTTTCCTTCGTACTGCATTGCTCCCTTGAAAGGGTTGCCATGTCCAATCGGTGTTGGACCTTTGCCTTTGTATCCTTGTTGGCTGTATCCTGTGTATCCTTTTCCTTTGTTGTGCCATTGTGTCTTTCCTTTTCCTTTGTTGTACTTTCCTTTACCCTTGTTGTTGTACTTTCCTTTTCCTTTGTACGTAGCTCCAATGTCCATGGGCTGTGCATCATTTGTGCTGCTGTTCATTGCCTGTTGTTGTGCTTGCATCTTGGAGAACGCTGTTGATGCTCTGTGGTATTCGAGAATGAGTTCTCGAATGTCTGCATATCGTTGTATGGCTCCTGCTCGTAGTTGTAGGTATTGTTGTAGTGGTCCTTTGGTCTCATTGAGTAGTATTGCAATTTTGATGTTGTCAGGTATTGGTGCTTGGTTGTCTCTTTCGTATCTTGCTATTTCAAATTCCCATGTCGTAAAAGACTCCTCAAATTTGTTTTCGTTGAACTGTGGTTTCAAAAGCTTTGTAAGGTACCCGACACTGCGTGTACCAAGTGGAATTGAAAAGCGTCTGTGTAGTTGTCTCCATGTCTCGAGACCAACTGCTTGTAGTGTATGTTGTCTGCAAAGGACAGCTGCTTGTCCTTGGCAGACGTTGATGAGTAGGTAGTGTAGGTCTTTGCTGAGTTGTATCCAAAGGTCTGCTTCTTCTCTGTTTCTTGCACCGTCTGCTAGAAGCTCATCTGTAACTGGTTGATCGAATGTTTCTGCTATCTGTAGGAGCCTGGGGAATTGTGAATTCTGTAGCCCCAAGTAGGCCACAAACTTGTGTTTCCATTCTTCAAATGTTGCGTACTCTCCTGTAAAGTGTGGTGGTGGTAGTTTGTATCTGTGCATCGCATTGAGGTCTCCTCCAGTTGTAGCTGCTGCCATGTTTGTCGTTGTGTGTTCTCACCTTAATGCTGTAGCTTTGTTGCCGATGTGTATTGGAGCTCACCCTGTCCTGTATCGTCCAGGGATCACTGCTCCGCTACCATGTTGAAATCAAGTGTACAACTTCCCTGTCAGTACTCTCAGCAGCTGTAGCCCACGCGCTGTACTTTTCACTGTAGCGCTCGAGTAACGCTAGCTCAAGGGCCCTGTATGGAGCCCAAATGTATCGTACAATGACATGTACTCAAAGTAGACTAACATGTTGTATCAGCAACTGTATAGCTCATGTACATGTGCAGGTGTATTCTTAACAATGATGATGATGATGATGATGAGGAGGAGGAGGATGACGATGATGATGATGATGATGAGGATGAGGATGAGGATGAGGATGAGGATGAGGATGATGAAGGTGAGGATGATGAAGGTGAGGATAATGAAGGTGAGGATGATGAAGGTGAGGATGAGGATGAAAATGAGGACGATGACCCTCTACCAGCCGGAAATCTCCTCTTGGGGGGGGGCTCGGGGACCAGGGGGGGATTGAACCTGGGCCTGCCAGGGGGGGGTCTAACTTGAAAGTTTCAGGGTTTCCAATGGTCCTGCTGCATGCCTATTCCTATTCCTTGCTAAAGCAAGAGCAACTTCAGCTAGCACAAGCTAGCTTTCGTGATGAAAAACAAATGAACAAGAATGAACAATGAACAATGAATTTCAATGAACAGCTAAAAATGAATTGACCTGAAAAAAATCCGCTGGCGGTTTTTCGTCTCAGTGGTCTTCTCCTCCTGAAGGGCCTCACGGCTGGCTTCGTCCAGTGGAGCACGCCGCGACACATACCTTAAGACACCAATCTGGAAACAATATGCAACATGATCAACATGTAGATAGTTTCAAGCAAATAGCTTATAGACAGCCAATGATGGCCACAGCCAAGAATGATTCAAGCTATTCTAATTTATCGCCACTAGAATCCGGATCGAGGTGTCAATTTCGTTGTATGTCGTTGTTGCCATATCTGGATGAGTCACCACAGTGCACCCACCTTCTGCACAATCGATCTCAGAACTTACAACATGCAGTTGTTGGTTCCATCAGGAGGGGGAGGTCGCATAGATGAATCTGATGTGCCACCATGGCAGAAAGACTTAGATATAAAATGACTTTCTTGAAGGACAGGCAGTAAAACATGCATGTACAAGACCTATCACAATCTACACTGGCTACATCTGGCCACTCTATCCAACTTTATCCGAGATGCGGGCATATGACCAACCCGAAGGCTGAAAGACCCACTGCTCCACTGGCAGTGCATGTGCCACGGACACCACTCCATGCCAAGTTCAAGAGCCGCCTGAAAAGTGGAAAAGTGGAGATAGGAAGAAGCAACAGGACGCAATGGACGCAATGTTTCTTCTATTGATTTTATTCTGTTCTTGCTTTTGAATCACATCTTTAGAGATCTTCACGGGTGCTTTTTGCATGTTTGTTTTGTGCCCCGTTTGTTCTTGACAAAATACGCACTCTTCGCACTACACACGCACTAAGAAGACAACAAATCACGATATTCGCACACAAGGGCTCCTCAGCAGCTTCTTGTACTCTTGCGCCTTGAAACGGTTGGGGTTGGGCTCCCAGTCGCCAAACAACGCCTGCCTCGCCTGCCTACCAAAATGACCGGCCGAAAACGGACAGCCATCGGACCATTGGGCCATCGGCCAGAAACTTCAGCCCAAAGGGCGAGACGGCAGCGAGACGGCGAGCCATGTGAAATCGTCGATGCGAAACGTCGCCGAAACGTGGCCGAAACGTCGCCAGCACCCGTGTGTGCAGAATGTTCTTCTTTCACAGTCTATCAGATATGTCAATCTATAGGATATGTCAATCTATCAATCCCAGCTCTCAAGACAACAGTTTGCAAATCGAGAGTGACAAAGAGATTGTCGTATGTCTGTATCTCCTATGCAACAAAGACATTAAAGGACAGCAAACTTCGCCACGACCACCACGTAGTTTCCGTAGGTGTTGGTGCACAGGGTGTAGAGCACCTCGGGCCTCAAAGGAAACAAAGAAGTAAACTGTTAAACTTGCACTAAGACTGGCGTGACAGGGGACACCAGCTTCCAAATAGACGTGCTAATTTGCAGAGATCAGCCATGCTGCTCGTTTGACAAAATCATCGAGTCACAGAGGTCTACAGAGTACTTCATGACGGCTTCGTTTCAACACTGACGATATCCAGCACGAAGCTCTGAGCAAACCAACACCTCTAAAACGGTGCTCAGTAGATTGGCCCTTTCCTGTCAAACACTTGACATGAAATGCAATGAATGTTCGGAACAGATGCCGGAATGAAACAAGTCTCTGAAGCAAATAACATCATGAGACAGCCTGTTGAATGATTTCGGTGTCAGCATGCTCACCGGTGGTGGCGATCTCAAAGCACTTCTCCACCACATTGCTTGAATACTTTTCTCCTAAGGCTAAAGAAGTACAAGGCCCAAAGGTCGCCCAAAGTCTCAATGCCGCATGAATGCAAAATCATAATATGTGCGTCTGATGGTAATTCTGTTTGAGTCTATGCTCCAGTGTATCTCGCTGAGACTGTCCAGCTTCAGTTCACACGCAGGAACTAGAGTCCTTCCATGTCCTTTCCCTCCCACAATTTAGAATAAACTATAATAAACTCACATATTCGATATTTGAAACATTTTGAAAATGTCAGGAGCTGCCAGGAGCTGCCAGGAGCTGCCAGGAGCTGCCAGGAGCTGCCAGGATGTCTTGTTGGATTTGTCCAAGGACCGCAGACTGAGCCAAAGTGCTTGAGAAGTCGGCGATGTTTGCCCGGATGGTCTGAATGATGCCTCAGCCGTTATCGCTTTCGCCATGCATAGCTGACTCGGTTGTTGCCTCTGCAAAAGACAGAAAAAAGTTCCAAGGCCCACAAGACGCCACAAGATGTGTAAGTGATGGCATGGGCCAAGTCTAAGCCAAGTCTAAGCCCGATGACGCTGCTTGTCTTCCTTGCGGCCATGCTCCAACATGTGCTGAACAACCTGAAGGCAGGGTGAACTGGCATGGCAATAGAGGGATCCGATTGCTCAGCAAGGCTGAATCGAATTTGACAAGTTGGAAGGTTTACAGGAAGAACAATCAAAATAATCAAATACATCAAACATAAAAAAGAGCCCTTCCCTTCAGATGCACCCAGCAACGTAGTTGCCATAGGCATCCTTGGCCAAGACAGCCACATTGCAGAGGATCTGCTCAAGCCTCAGAGTGATTCCGCGCAATAAAGATGTTTCTTGATAGTTCTCCCATTCACATTAACTTGGGGCAAAGGTAGCAAGGATTCGAAGGCAAAAGTATAAATTGGTTCCTCCCATGTGGTTGTGCAATTAGTAATTAGCCAAGAAGCATCGGCTTCAGTTGGTCAGACACACAGTGCTCCAAGAGTCTCTGGATCACCCGGCAACCGTACCTCAACTAGGTCGCCACGTCAGGACAAAGTTTCACTGCTACTAAGCACAGCGAGATGAAAAGTTACCGGCATAACAATACTTTGAACAAGGGTACACTGTTGTGGAAGCCAGAGAATAAAAGAAAACAAGAAAAGGTTGCCCAACAAGTAACAAGGCTTGCAGTGTGGCTCATGTTTTTCTGCATTGACTGCCCAGCCATTCACGCTAAGGGCCACATAGGTCACTGTAGGTCTTCTCCACTTTAGTGAGTGACCAAAGACTAAAATAGCTCTATGCAAGGAAATAAGCATCACAGATTTGTCAGAGATTCAATAAATTTGAATAATCCCCTTCAATGATCACAAATCTACGGTCATTTAGGCTACTGGGAAGTTTTCGCATCGTTCAAATCATCTGAAGGCTCGAAGTCAATGGCCAGGACAAAGAAATTTGAAAAGAAAATATAGAGAAAGAACAAAAAAACGCAGAGGCGGGGCGGAATTGCTAAGGACTCCAGCTTGGGAGCAACGGGAGCAAGAGCGTTCTGCAAGCAAACCCTCTGAGTTCCAAACACATGCCTAGCGGTTTCTTCCGCTTTCTGCTCCACCTCAGCTCCACAGGACTCCACTCAGTTTCTATCAGCTCTCTATTTCGGGGCAGCAGGATTTGCTATTCAAGCAGTCTCAAGACTCATGAACATGATTGAACATGATTGAACATGCACAACTAGGCAACTGGTGGATGCCCTAGGCATCCCGAACTGCTCTGATGATGAAATTGACCGAATCTGGCGGCATCTGCTCGATGCATTTCTGAATAACCTGAGCTTGTGGAAACGATCCTCCATGCAGAATTCATGCAGTGTCTGAATTACGGGGTGGTGGCAAGTTCCAAGAACTGCTCCAGGGTAGTTGATACGTCTGAAGTCCTTTGACGAATTCCGGCAAGCTCTCATGATCGAATCTCACCGAGCCACATCTGGTGGCCACAAGCAGCTTTCAAAAAAAGGGTGTTCTAGCAGTTTCTAGCATTTTCTACAATCTTCCTGGAGTTAAGAGGTACTTTACCTGATCATAGCAGGATGAAGGTTGGAAGTGCTAGTGACCCAAGGACCCAAGTCTGGAAACCCCTTTGCTGCAGTGACCCACCAAGTCAACCTTGAGTCAAGGCACATGGTTTCCGTGCATGTTCCTTAGCCCAGGAAGCATCAAACGCCATTCGGAGTCGCATCTTACACCCCTTGTCGACCGACTCATGCTCTTGCATAGGTCCATAACCTTCCAATGTCCCATGATTCATTTGACACTCCGGCAAAACTATGACAGGACTTTGAACGATAAGAAGGTAGGCATCTGATCCCTGTATTTGTGCACCTGCAAATTCAAAGACACCTCCAAACGAAGAAAGCCAGTGGCTTTCTAAACAAACTGTCATCCTCAATTTGGCTACACAAAGCCCATTTTTGGCTGTTTTTCTCAAGAGCTCAGAGCTGAGGACGTCCGTAGGCAAGTCTCCGTATGCAGTCGTCCACGTGATCTTCCAACTCCCGGGAGATTTGCTGCTGCGACTCTTTGGAGACAGCATTAATCGCCTGAACAAACCGCAGCATTGCAAGCATTGAACAAATCATAGTTTGCAACAAGCTCAACTTAGCATATCTTAGCATCTAGTGTTGCCTAGCATGGCTTAACTCGGGCAAAGAGACGATGAACAAGCTGACCATTCAATGAACACATGAACAAATGAAGACGTTAAAGAATGAAGTAAATACATGAGATGAAAGGAAGCTCAGGAAGAAGCGATGAGAAATGAAGTAATGTACCCAAACGTACACTGAAAAAGTGTCTGAATTTGGCCTTTTGGATGACTCGGCAACCACACTGGTCCTGAAATGCAGTTGAGTATTCAGTAGCACATTCTACACCACGAAGATACGTCTGAATCTGGACGCTTGTTTAATATGTACGAGATCAGCAAACTCTACTTTACATTGACGACTCAATGACGAGAAACATAAAGTGACTTAGCGTTAAACGTCCATCCGTTTTTTCCTTCAATCGCACGCTATGGGAAGTCATTGTAAGTTTGTTCCGTTGAACAAGCATTGCATGATATGTAACAAATAATACAAATATATGTACTTACATCACATTGCAGTACATATTATATATATATATAATTATATTATACATATTATAATATAGGTATATACATACATACAAAATAATATTATACATTTTGGAGCTCGAAGCTGCCATTTCAACTGTCTTTGCAATATTTTGGAGTTGGAACCTTTCATTTTCCATAGATTTTGCAACATGTTGGTGGAATTTGTAACATTTTGGAGCTGGAAGCTGCCGTTTCAAGGGTATTTGCAGCATTTTTGAGTTCGAACCTCTCATTTTCGATGGAATTTGCAACATTTTGGTGCTGGAACTGTTCATGTAACATGGGAGTTTGCAACTAGGGTTCATTCGGGGTTGGTTTTAGGTCTAGTTTAGGGGTTTTGTTTGGTTTAAAGTTGTTTAAGGGTTGGTTTTAGAGTTAGGGTTTATTTAGATTTTTGTAACGGTTAGTTCAGGATCTTTTTAGGGAAGATTCGGCAGGCTTGGTTTAAGAGAAGCAGAAAAGCAGGTAAGCAAAGAAGCAGGGAAAAGCAGAAAGCAGAGAAGCTGGAAAAGCAGAAAAGCAGGGAAAAGCAGGGAAAAGCAGAAAGAGAGAAGCAGAAAAGCAAAGAAGAAGGGAAACAGAAACCCAAAAAAAATGCCCAAGACTGGAAAAAAAAAACATCCCCAAAAAAATATTCCTCCTATATATATATATATGTATATATATATATATATTTATATTATACAGTATTATACATATAATCATATATATATGTGGGGTTGTCCAAAATTATGTACCCGAAAACTGCCCTTACGCCGCGCTTTGCGCACCTTTCGCGCCCTTTCGCGCCCCAGCAGAATCGGGACATGGGAATATGATCGGGCTTTCGTTTATTTATAGGTTTATAAATAGTGGTATTCAGACCTTTCGCGAACCTCCATCGCCCTTTCGCGGCCTTTCGCCACTGCAGCAAAACATACACATCCATATCCGCAGATGTCACTCAGATCTAAAAGCCTTGCATGATTTTAGGACGACTCCCCATAATGTATATTATATATATATAATTATATATATGCATCAATCTGCTTTGGGCACTGGGCTCATTTTGGTCGTGAATTTCACACCGCAACATGGTGGTGGGGCGTGGGATGGGCTATATGGAAGAAAGGGAACAGTCTACCAGCAGCAACCGCTACTAGACTTCATCATAGTAACAACCAGAGCCCTAACTACCACCACCCCTCCCCAGCCGGCACAACTTTCCCCATTCACCCAACCACGCATTCAGAGTTTACACCAAAGAAAAAGTAATAATCTACGCCCGAAGCAAGAACAAAATTACACCCACAATGAGCCAAAATCTATGCCTGGAGCCCGAAGCGAACCCCAATCTGCTTCAGATTCAGCAAAATACATTGCATTACATCATATTGCATTGAGAGGCATTGAATACATTCCAGTGGACGTATGTGTTACTTAGGCTGTTCATATTGCCATACAGTATTGCACCCACCGCGTGGTAAATACATATCATGTCATGTCATGTCATATCATATCATATCATGTCATACATTCACGGGCTAACCTAGCGTTTCCCAGGCCTGAGATGTTTTCATGATTACTTTGGACGTGACTCCGCATCACCACAACTTAGATGCATGCAGCTGGACACTTTCATACATGTGCAAAACCTGCGACTGACACATATTGATGCACAATGCATGCTTCACTGTGCAACATCCCAGAAGCTTGTGTCGCACAGGACTGGTCTCGGTCTTAGGGACAAAATCAAGTAAGATTGATAAGATTGTTTGTAGTCAAGTGTGTGAAGGGTTTTTTCCCATGCATCTGGTTGCGGGCTCCTGAGACAGTTTGGCCACATTGCCTTGCAGAGCCGACACCATGGCCTGCAGGCATGCTCCGACGATGGGTCAGGCGGCCAATATTGGCCAATGATACCTCCAAAAGAGAGCCTTTCATCCAAGACACCGGAGCTCTAGGACAGAGTCCAAATCCTAACCCTCCCGTCCCCTTCGCCTTCCTCTGCCTCAGAATTCCAGTTTTCACCAAGAGAAGTGGTATCAGACTCTCAGGATCTCTCAGGATCTCTCAGGATCTCTCAGTTTGTGCTTCATTGTTTTCTACAGTTGGACAACTCACAGACCTGGCCGCTGGCGTCTACTTCCGCAACCAAGGTGCTGTGCGTCAGCAGAATCAAAGATCTTTTGCACCTCAACAAAGACTCAATTGTGGCAAATCCACAACATGTTTGCTTGCCAAGAAGGAAGTCGCAACTCGCGCATGAGACAACATGGGCAAATAAAGAGCTGCAGACAAGCAAGAGATGTCTCCACGATGACAAATATTGTAGTGCAAAGACTAATGCAGCACTACATCCGAAAGCTCTAACCCCAGTTGGCCAGAGCCGCTAAAGGTGTTCCATTGACAAGTATCGGTACCTTTCTTCTTCAGTGAAAGAAAAATCAGGCAATAATGCAGCAATCAGGTTGTTCGGCTAGTTCGGTACCACCGCAACTCCCGCACCCTTAGACGAAGTTGCTGGATTCACAGTTGGGTCCCCAGGCCAGGTGGTTGCCGTAGGGGTCCTTTGCCAAGTCTGGTGCTTCAGCACGGATAGCCTGTGCAGGGCATGTAGTCACTACACTCACTACCTGACACTATCGGTTGTTGCAGAAACTATACATGCCTCAATCGGATCCTATAAGACAATTCGGCGCTGGACAAACTAGTAAATGGATGCAGAAGTACTGCCAAACATAGTCCCGTCTGTTCTGGCATCCGCGTTGACACAGCTCCACTGCTCCTAAGATCCCTGCAGCATAGACTCGGTGCTTCGTCTCCTCAGGTGCCTGTACGGCGGGCTTGTTGCAAGTCATACCACTTGGAAGTTCAACAAACAAATAAAAAATAGAAAACTCCAAGCATAATGAGCCCCAACATGTAGGGTGTTTCATGAAACCAAGCAGTATGCAGCTCCATGTCTCTCCTCCACAAAACGCCCTGTCATGCACAGCATACTCTCTGCATTTCTCTCGACTCTCACATAGTGCTGCCTCATCCAGCTTCTGTTGGATGTATCGAGTGCCGTACTGGTCCTTGGAGAAGGGCAAAGCAGGGCATGCATCTGTGGCCAGTTGTCTATGATTGTCCATGTACTTATTCTTTTCTTCATGATTTCGCCTCCATCTGTCGGAACGCACCCTTCTATCAAATAGCTATCAGCTCTCGATTCAGCCCTTCAGAGCAGAGTCCCGGATCATACCAGCACCCCTTGCCTTGGCAAATTCTCCAACCAGGTTCTCCTGGCCAATGCAAGTTGCATGACTTCACTGCGAACAAACCCGGCAAAATGCCAACGATATCCAAACAATGCAGTTCTGTGACCATCTTGAATCTCCCTGTCTGGGTGCCTGAAGCACCTCTTCCAGCGGCACTTCTCTGATCTGCCTTCGCACCTGCCGTGACGAAGTTAGGGGAGCTATCAGAAATCTCTGGAAGCCGTTGGGCTTTTGGAATCAGTTCCGCAGTCTCTTCTGTCCCTTCTGAGAAAAGACAGTGGCGCCTGGTTGAGCTGTGCACTCAAGGTGTCATCGTCTTCAAGAGCTGCAGCTGGTTCCTCCTGTTTGAACCGAGGGGTGGCAGGTAGTTGCAGGCCCAGCAGGTTCCCCATGGCAAATGATCGCTGGAGTTCCTGATAGAACCCGGCAAAGTAGGGCCTTCACAGATTTCCATTTTCTTGACTGGCTGAACCTAGTATACCCCGTCTTTCATTTCTAATTCTTGACTCCACTTGAGCTCAAACCGCAAAACCGAGAACCCCGGTCTCCTTGGCATTCTTTCCCTGTCAAAACTTGACAACACTGTCCACATGGCAAATTGCAAGTCAATACAAGTCCAGCTTAGACTATCTTTTCTCTCGGTTTGGCAAAGATTCAGATTCAGCAAGAACACAAACTGGAGACTGGCACATCCTCGTGAGCTTCAATCCTGCCATTCTGATTTCTATATTATTTGTTAAGTGGAGAATGAACCAGAGACGGAGCTCAGCAGGAATCCTGAGAGACTGAGAGAGAGAGAGAGAGCACATGAGGGAGCACAGAGGCTTAGCTTCAGTTGGAAAGCCCATACTTAAGGCTATCTCTCAACTCAGCCCTCTTCTACAATACCATATGTTCCTTGGCAATTTGTTGTCACATCTTCAGACATCATGCTCCTACAACAGGTTGGATCAAGATGTTACACCCCAGGAATTTTCAGTGAGATCCATGGAGCCAAAATTGGGTCGGTTGGATTGGTGGGTGATCGGTGGGTGTAATGGCCCAGACCCCGGTTCTATCAGGTCTTGTCAACACCGGTGTCAACCCCGTGGCACATCATTGCACCTTGGCACGGCGTTTGCCTTTTGCCTCCCGAGGCCCACTGTTTTTGCCTCCTGCAAACACGTAAGGCCCTTCAAGGCAATCATAGAAACGCAACTGCAGAGGATCTCGATGAAAAGAAAACACATTGTGGAATGGCCAAAGAACGAAGCACCATATCAAATCCAGCTGAGTCAAATGAATGGTGTTTCAGAAGCCATCTGAATGTCTCATCATACGGCTCTTGGAAATGCTTGTATTGGACCTCTATGTCGTTGAACATCTGCCTTGGTACAGCAGGAGTGTCGTTTCAGAGCGGAGAGGGTCCTCCCTGGTCCTGTCTTCTTGGCTTTGCCTCACACAACTCTGATTCCGACATTTCCTGGTCATGTCACAACCATCAGCCTTAAGGATTGGGATACCGTTATCTGTATTGCCATTGACATAGCCCATGAGTATGCGCACATCTCCTACAAAACCTAAGGAGCTGCGATAAGGTGTCGTGTTGCAGTGTCAATGCACATCGGCTCTCCAAAGTGTCCTAAAAAAGGTGTCATGCAGCAGCATTCGCTTTGGCATCCCGGCATTCTTTGGAGCTCCTTGCCTCAGCAGTATCCGCCCAGAATCTTGTTCTGGGGAGAGAAAAATAAATTTGGATCTGGATTTGAGCCTAGCATTTGTTTTCTCTGCCTTCACAGGTTCGCCTTTTCGGTCTTGAAGATTGTTCAAAGGGGAACTGCCATCATCTAGATCCAAACTGTTGCTGCCTCCATGTATTGTTTTTATGCGTTGAGGTAGAGTTTGGTCGAAGTGGGAGAACACGAGCAAACACAAACCAGCAAACAGCATGTCTGCTTAATACTCAATACTACCAAAAAATATGTGTTACTTGTGCAAGGAAAGCAAAGGAACTTTACAGCTGTTTGCCTTTTGCCCTAATTCACTCAATACCCTCAACAAACATGCAGCAAAGGTGCTCTGGAACCGGAGGGGCATGCCCAAACATCGGCATAGCTGGCATTCCTCCTGCCATTCGCGCGACAGGAAGGAAGCACAAGAATTGAAGGCCGGAGCTGAACAAAGAGATTGTCGAACGGATGATGTTAGGGTCAATCGCTTGCAATTCTTTGCAATTGTACGCTAGCCAAGCTGACAATTCGACAAACAATGAACCGTACAGAGGCAAATATCATCAAAGATCTATATTTTATCAACGACTCTACAGGTTCCACATATTGCCCTGACAACCCACCCCACCACATCCCCTCTCTCTGCTTAGCAGCCTAAGTACGCCATGTTCATGTTCATATAAGGCTGCATCATATTCTGAGGCGGCCTGAGAGTGACTGGCTGCTCCAGGAATTTGGAAAGTTCCTATGAGCGCCTGACAGTGATTCACTACTCTGATGGCTCGCTTGGTCAAAATTGTTGCCTTTGGGAAGGACTACTGCCTTCAGTTAATGTAAACCAGTTCACAGCAATTATGCTCGTAAAGACAGAGGCACCAGTTGTGTATGGCAATTATCATTATTTTTCGATTTTTTTATCGCAAGTCTCAACCACCACTGTTTCTCTTGCGAAGCAAGTGGACGCATATTTTGTTTCAAAGACAAATTTGTCCTGAAAGAGTCATCACCCGTGTCACTGAGTTCCCTGGCATGTATTGACCATAGGGCGGAAGGCTTTGATGCGGATAGGGCATAGGCATCGAAGGCATCGAGGGGGGCACAGAGTATGGAGGATACTGCATGAACCTTGGCACAGAGCTGGTGCTTGCTGCCACCTGGTAGAACTGAGCCTGAATGTCCTGTAGATGAGGACTCACCGAAGGAAGTGTAGAAGAAAAAAGATGAAGGGTGAAAAATAGAAAAGTCGCGAAACACTGTGATTTTCCAATGTTTGGTGGTTTTGGAAGATTGAAAAGTAGGCTCGACAAAGGGGCGGGTGCGGAGCCATCTAGTCGTATGAGAAATCAAAAATTGCACGCCGCTGTGGTGGGAAACGCGTTTTGACGTCAACTGGAACTTGAGATGTTGTAAAAGTGCACACCGTTGTGGCGCGAAACGCGTGCCCAAGTCAAATGCTAAAAACACCTCGGGATTGGAGCACTTTTGTCAGTTGAAATGTTGGAAAAGTGTAAGCCGCGGTGGCGCGAAGCACGTTTCGAAGTCTAAATATTAAAAACACACCATCCTCGGAGCACTTTTGGATGTTCAGCTGTTGAAAAGTGCACGCCGAGTGGCGCGAAGCACATTTGGACGTCAAAACTGTTAAAAACTAATGGTCTTGGAGCACTAGTTGAGGTTAGGGCGCAGCTTTGCATGACAGGCGCAATGGATTCTGCACCTTGTGAAAAGTGAGCCAAACGTGCGGGCACTCCCAAAAACGATGGCAGGCGTGGGACGTTGGAAAAGGATCTGCAAAGACACACGTCGCGTGGCAGGCGCAGTACAAGAGGCATATCCATCAGACATGTTAGGAGGTCCGGGCGCTGATTTCCTGAAAGGGTTGCCTTTTAGAGCATCAGATCTTCAGGTTTGCGAAGATAATTTTGCGTGACAGGCGCAGCACTTCGTATGACCTGGCCTCACGTTTTCGTGGCAAGCGCAATACTTTAGACAGATGGAATGGAAAAATCGCAAAACACATTGGTACGCGGCAGTCAGCTCTGCATTCAACTTGCCATTTTTGAAGGAATTCTCGCAGAATTGTTTCGTGTTGTCAAATTTAAAATTGAATACGTCTCGCGGAAATTCTTCGTTTTGGAGCTCAGAAAATACAATTTTTGAGGAAGTTTCGCAGAATTGCTTCGTTTTGGACATATCAACTTCCACTTTTTGACAGAAGTCTCGCATAATTGCTTGCTTTCAGATAGTAAGATAGATAGATAGATGGATAGGGAGATAAATAGACAACTAAAGTCCTTAAAAAGAAAAAAAGAGACAGATAGATGAATAGTCAGATAGTCTGATAGACAGGTAGCCAGATCGACAGATAGCCATATAGATGAATAGATAGCAAGATAGATAGATACATAGTATAGATACACAGATACACAGATACACAGACAGAAAGATAGATAGTCCAATCTGACAAACAGATAGACAGATAGACAGATAACAGACAGACAGACAGACAGACAGACAGATAGATAGATAGACAGACAGATAGCAGATACATAGATAGAACGCTTAGGTGGATAGATAGTTAGATGGGTAGTGTGAGAGAGAGAGAGATGAATAGATAGAAAGATTAAAAGAAATGAAAAGATAGACAGCTAGCCAGACAGATAGATAGTGACAGACATAGATGGATAAACGATAGATAGATTGATTGATTGATTGATAGATAGATATAGATAGATAGATAGATAGATGGATAGATAGAGATAGATAGAGATAGATAGATAGATACATAGATAAAGATAGATAGATAGATAGATAGATAAAGATGGATAAAGATAGATAAAGATGGATAAAGATAGATAAAGATAGACAAAGATAGATAAAGATAGATAAAGATAGATAAAGATAGATAAAGATAGATAAAGATAGATAAAGATAGATAAAGATAGATAAAGATAGATAAAGATAGATAAAGATAGATAAAGATAGATAAAGATAGATAAAGATAGATAAAGATAGATAAAGATAGATAAAGATAGATCAAGATAGATCAAGATAGATAAAGATAGATAAAGATAGATAAAGATAGATAAAGATAGATAAAGATAGATAAAGATAGATAAAGATAGATAAAGATAGATAGAGATAGATAGAGATCGATAGAGATAGATAGAGATAGATAAAGACAGATAAAGATAGATAAAGATAGATAAAGATAGATAAAGATAGATAAAGATAGATAAAGATAGATAAAGATAGATAAAGATAGATAAAGATAGATAAAGATAGATCAAGATAGATAAAGATAGATAAAGATAGATAAAGATAGATAAAGATAGATAAAGATAGATAAAGATAGATAAAGATAGATAAAGATAGACAAAGATAGATAAAGATAGATAAAGATAGATAAAGATAGATAAAGATAGATAAAGATAGATAAAGATAGATAAAGATAGATAAAGATAGATAAAGATAGACAAAGATAGACAAAGATAGACAAAGATACACAAAGATACACAAAGATGGACAAAGATGGACAAAGATAGACAAAGATAGACAAAGATAGACAAAGATAGACAAAGATAGACAAACATAGACAAAGATAGAGAAAGATAGATAAAGATAGATAAAGATAGATAAACATAGATAAAAATAGATAGATTAGATAGATTAGATAGATTAGATTAGATAGATTAGATAGATTAGATAGATTAGATAGGTTAGATAGATTAGATAGATTCGATAGATTCGATAGATTCGATAGATTGGATAGATTGGATAGATTGGATAGATTGGATAGATTGGATAGATTGGATAGATTGGATAGATTAGATAGATTAGATAGATTAGATAAATTGGATAGATAAGATAAGACAAGACAAGATAAGATAAGAGAAGATAGGATAGGATAGGATAAGATAAGATAGATAGATAGATGGATAGATAGATAGATAGATGGATAGATGGATAGATGGATAGATGGATAGCTCAGAGCCTCAACCACCTTTCGGTCCATGGGTTCTTTCTCCCATCCATGCATTACAACAACTCACTTCTCCTATAGGTTTTCTATCTTTGAAACTTCCGCGACTGCCTTGTGCGGTACTACTGGTACTATGATAATCTAGCTTGTACACATACAGAAAATACTTGTACACAGATGTATAGTATGAAATATCACATCAATATATTCACGCATAAGTATGTCTGTTTGTCTCTGTCTGTCTGGTCTGGTCTGGTCTGGTCTTGTTTGTACAAGACACAACTTGACACAACTATAGTAGACATGAGCAAACCAATTCTTGCTGGTCAAACTCAAAAGCACAGGCAGAGATGAAAAGGTGGCAAGGGCAACACTTACAAATCTCACCGAATCTCCCATGCAAAAACCATGAAAAAAAAACGTTGTTGATTTCTCATATTGTCCTGGGTGCCCAGACTGTTGAAAGTCAGGTGCTGCTGCCGCTGCTGCTGCAGCTGCTTTTGCTTGAGCCCTCAGTCTCTGCCACATGAGTTGCACAAATACTTATGAGGGTGTCTCAGATGGCACATGATACGTTTGTGCAAATTGTGAATTTGGGACAATTGAATTTCTTTTGGGCCCGATCCAAGGCTGGCATTTTATTGGCATGTATCAGCAGTTCATGGGATTCTGACTTGGATGCAATGCTCACCAGTAATGGACAAAGCCGCTTGGGTTCCGGGCTTTCGTGAGCCACGCCCACGACCCCGCCCCTGTCCACCCTGGGTCGTAAAGAATACATAAGGAAACACAGCTGAGACCAGTGAAGCCCAATTCACAATTACTCACAGAATCAACAGCTACGTTGGAACTGTTGCTTCAGAAAGTCGCAAAGCATGGCAAAGCATGGCAAAGCGATGCAAAGCGCTTGTGACCTGTCAGGACCTGTCAGGACCTGTCAGGAAAGTTGCAGGAAAGTTGATGGAAACTGCGTGCGCCTCCTCGTGAAAGATTGAAGACTCGATCTTTCGAGGTGAGTCACCATCCTGGCACTGAATCACTGAATCGGCAAATCTATGGAATCTACGTCTGCCGAGCAAAGGAAGTCAGGTCTTTATGGCAAAGCCGTTGCAAGAAGGGTACATCAAACATGGATCAAAAAGCAGGACGCCTATACTCTATTTGCAGTAGATTTGAAGTCATTCTAGTGAATTGATCACCGTGATTTGGCTTTGCTTTGCATTGAGTGGTGAGGGTTTAGGTTTAAAAACCCATTGATGGTACCCAAGCAATCCCTGTGTAACACAACAGAGGGTTGCATAGGGCGAATGTGATCACCGTCCAAGGTCGCACCCTGCCCTTAATCATCCTCAACCGCTGGGAGTCGCAATAATATATGCGAGAAACTGTCTATCCCTCGGCACTCTATAAGCAAAAAAAATACTCTGACAAGGAGCAGATTTTGGAATTGCAAAATATTCACTGATTCCTCCTGCATGGTGCCAACATTGCATGTCTTCGTCAAGAGATCGGGGGATGCGCATGGATGCGCCTTTGCCATCAACGGCGGCCCAGATGGCCCTGCGGGCAGAAATGCATCTGGTGGCATGTAATGCAATCAGCTTGAAAACAAACGCTTCCGACCCTGCACAAACAGATGAACAACTTTAACAAAGCCACTGCGTGGCAACTCCGCCTGGATCAATTTGCATTGGAACGGGCCTCAGCGCATTGAAACATGACATAAGAAATACATAAGACGGATTGGAAACATGTGAAAGAGACTTTGCTCAGCCATGGCTCAGTGAAGTTTCTGCGCTGTGATGCAACAAGATCAACAAGTAACAAGGCCACACTTAGCTCAAACTCTTGGCGCCCGACCCTCTCAGAGCATCATTGGCTGCGCGTGCTGCAGCCTCAGACCGTACTGTCGGAAAAGAGGATCTTGATATCATGACAATGACGCCCTGTTCACAACTCAAAAACCAGATGCATTTTGAGCGCACCTAGATACTCAGATTTTACTGCATGCAAAGGTATCTCTCTTCTAGTGTGGAACTGCAAGGCGTGCACACTAGACTCAGTAGCCACAATGTCGATTGCAAAGGTATACACACTAGACACGACCTATCAGTAGCCACAATGTCGATTGCAAAGGTATACGGTATACACACTAGACACGACCTATCAGTAGCCACAATGTCGATTGCAAAGGTATACACACTAGACACGACCTATCAGTAGCCACAATGTCGATTACAAAGGTATACACACTAGACACGACCTATCAGCAGCCACAATGTCGATTACAAAGGTATACACACTAGACACCACCTATCAGTAGCCACAATGTCGATTACAAAGGTATACACACTAGACACCACCTATCAGTAGCCACAATGTCGATTACAAAGGTATACACACTAGACACGACCTATCAGTAGCCACAATGTCGATTACAAAGGTATACACTAGACACGACCTATCAGTTGCCACAATGTCGATTACAAAGGTATACGCACTAGACATGACCTATCAGTAGCCACAATGTCGATTACAAAGGTATACACACTAGACACGACCTATCAGTAGCCACAATGTCGATTACAAAGGTATACACACTAGACACGACCTATCAGTAGTCACAATGTCGATTACAAAGGTATACACACTAGGCACGACCTATCAGTAGCCACAATGTCGATTGCAAAGGTATACACACTAGACACGACCTATCAGTAGCCACAATGTCGATTACAAAGGTATACACACTAGACACGACCTATCAGTAGCCACAATGTCGATTACAAAGGTATACACTAGACACGACCTATCAGTTGCCACAATGTCGATTACAAAGGTATACGCACTAGACATGACCTATCAGTAGCCACAATGTCGATTACAAAGGTATACACACTAGACACGACCTATCAGTAGCCACAATGTCGATTACAAAAGGATGGTCATTCAACATAAAACCGGCAAACTGGCAACAACACAGCAACACCTGAGTCACCCTGACACTGGCAGTGGCTGCAGTGCCAGCCCCAGAGGGGAGAAAGTTCACATCAGCCATCCTAGTATTGGAAGAAGATCTTCACACCATCGTTGAGACATGTGTATATACATATATGTATATATAGACTGTATATAATTATATATATGTATATATATATTGTATATAAGCAGCAAGATTTCAACAGCGATTTATTGCACAGAAATTTGCACGTTCTGCACTGAAAGGCCAATGACTACATCCTTCTGGAACGGCCTTTACCAACATCCTCCCTGTTGCCGCTTCACAAAGACACCAAGCTGCACTCCTCTGCTGTGGACAGAGCCGATATGTCTTCAGCGGCTGAGCCAAAACGGCCACGATTTTCATCAGCCGATACTCACAAATGTCATATACATATCATACACAATATTGATATATATATATACAAATACTTAACTTATATATACTCATATTGTATTTCATACTCGACATCCCACAATGTCATTGTCGTACAAGGCACAAAACGAGCCTGCCCCCTGAGAGCAGCACTAGCGAACAGTGGGATTTACATGACTTACATGCACCAGAGAATGTCAAACCATCACAGCAACAATGACTTTTTAAAGTCACAGCGCTGATGCTTTGCTTGGCCAATTTTTGGACCTTGGAACCTCAATGTGCTTGCCCTACAGAAAAACAAGAGCTGGGGGCAGAACTGGTCTCACTTCTGGTCTCGGAGCACAGCCTAAGGATAGGCCCGGAATATTCGCAACAATTCATTGCAACTACCATGGACTTCACGTCCATGTCCAATTGATGTGCTGAAACTCAAAACACGTCAAAAAGCATCACTTGCAACCTATGCTTCCCCTTAAAGGTATCTACATGTTCATCATCCGCTAGGCAGGTCCTGTGATGGAAGTGTTCCTCCCGCGCTTCTCTGCATTTCTCCATGTACTCGAACACGCCAAAAACTCATGCTCTTCTCAGTGTCGCACGTTTTCACCTGCGCCGCCCACGCAAGTGACTCCACTCAAATGCCCTACGAACATTCACCTGCACCTGGATATGCAGTTTTCGAATCTAGTTGCTACCAATTCGGGGGAAATCATAAAATAAAAGCCCAGGCCCTGCGCTAAACGCAGAACTTTTACCCAGAAACTTAGTCCCTAGTATGCCGCGGACTCCTTGTCGCCTACCTCGTCACATCGGCAGATTTGATGGATCTTGATGCAAAACTCCTGGCCAGTCAGGGAGTGTTTGACCCTGATACATCTGAAAAGCAGGCAGCAAGCATTCTCTGTTTTGTTGGTAGTGAAAGCCACACTCAAAAACTTTGCAATGCTGTCTTGGGCTGGGTTCCTGGAAGCATATCATTCCTGAGATGCAACTCTCCAAAGCAAATGACTACGTCCAGGAGTGCAGCTAATTCGTCATTTCTCCTGACTCATCTGGGCCACTTGTTCTTCCAAGCCAGCGAAGCGTCGAGCCTTGCATCATGCAGCTTCCCGAGCACTTGATTTCGGCGGTTCCGGCTCTTCCGGCGATAGCAAATGCGTTGTGAAGCAGACCACTCTAGTGAAGTTTGGAAAGGTAAGACTTCTGTCAAGTTGTCATCCTCTCTCTCTCTCTCTCGATGAAACAAGTCTACATACAAGCTGCAAAAGTTGTTTGGTTCCACCTTCTGCTAGTTTGATTTTCTGGTCGGGTCTAGTCTTTGACACCCAATTTCCCCTCTCAAAGTTTGGTATTCACACCAACTCCTCTCGACGTTGCTCAGTTGCCATCAGCGCCTTGCCACAAGAACGCCGTTTTGACTACACTGTTGCAAGTTTCAAGCAATGGATTACTTCAATGGTGCTAGGGGGGGTTCTGAGTACCAAAACATCAGAATGGCATATGTATGTATGTATTGTATTGTATGGTATGTTATGTATATGTATATGTATATGTATATGTGTATGTATATGTATATGTATATGTATATATGACATACACAGTTGTATCCTCTAGCCGTGCGGCTAGCACAATTCCCATCCATTTCTTGTCTTGATGCTGAATATACACAAATGATCACCAATTCTCTAAGTGGCAACTCCCAAATCTCTTGAACATCTGCTACGCGTCCAGGACTTTTTGATTCCGCAACTTCTCAAAGTGCGAGAACGAAGCCTCACTCTCAGGCTCTGAACCGACTGTATCCCCCATGTGAACGGCAAGCTCACTTCTTTCCCAACCGACCCTGACAGCAGAATCACTATAGAACGTCTCAGGGGTTGAGACTTGGTCCGCAAACCTGTTGCAGGGTCATGCAGCGGGACTTAACCCAACTGATTGCAGAAATCGGCCGGTAGTCTTTACAACTCTGCAAGTCTACAAGGCTATCATAGGCTTGCAAATACATTAATCAAGAACACGAGGGAAAACTACCACATCTTCATGATTAAGTTCAAAACAGAAAACGAAAATCTACCCTCGATCAAGCGCACGCAGATTAAAAGTCTGAAATGTGTACATGCCCGCTGCAGCGACGCGCTACAGTTCGGTCGTGAGTGAAGTTCACTCTGTGTGGCTATGCCTGAGGTTGTTCCGCCAAAGGTTCCTTGCGCAAGTGCTCTGTGAGCGAGTTCAAATCAAGAATGCATTGAGTAGTGCAACACAGCCAATGCAAACCAAGCCTTGACACCATCTCACTGGTAAACTGGTGCAACAAGGCTGAATAATCAGTACTGCGATACATTTTTTGGCCATGACTAAGACTCTGAAGTTGAATAATTTAATTCCAATGCCCTGTCCCAAATACCGATACTCTTCAATATCCAATTGAGGTCCTGCATATGAGGACCTGGAGCTTTGCTGTGGATGTCAGGACTTACCTGGCAAGTTGAGTTTGCCAGATTATCGTCGAGATCTATCTTTGCGAAGTTGTCAAATGCACATCAACCCAGGTCCCGAGGAAAATGCTGCCACAATCAAAAACATCAGCAGAAGACAATTTGGATTCTCTTTGGAGTGAAACTTTCAGCTCCTTTGGTACAAAGGTATCTGATGCACATGTTACCATGCTGTATTTAGAACATCAGAATCATGTATCTGGCATTTACCTACTTCTGACCACACATCGACGACAAATTGCTGCTCCTTCTCCCCTGCCTCTGGCCAGCGGCCCCAAAGAATGCCACGAGTCCAAAAGAAGAGAACCGAAGCGGTGCCCCAGCCCAGGCCCAAGACTACGCCAAAATCCACAGCCTTCAGCATCTTGCACATGCGATGCACATGCGATGCACATGCGATGCACATGCGACATGCGCATGACGGCATGACGGCAGGTCTGGCATCAACACCAAGACAGAAAAGCGTAGGAATACCACTGCCAGAATCACGCAATAAAATAAATGCAATACAAGAGAAAACTCCAGAATGCCTTACTTCTCTTCAAATAGATATTCGTATTGCTTTGTCAATTGGACGCGAGGTTGTTGCTGTTTCCGCTGTTTCAACCACCACATTCAGCTCTGCGCTAAGGTTTTTCTTTGCCCTCCAGACCCGCCTGTCGCCATGGGTAGGGTAAATGTGGCACCTTGGAGCGTTTTTAGGAACCAGAAAAAAAAAACAGTCTTATTCTTCGAAACGCCACAGTCTCCACCGGCACTCCGGCACCAGTCTGGGCTCCGTGGCCATGTGATGTGACCAACCCAGCAAGGATTGTGGCTACCAGAAGACGGTAGAGAACCGGATCCATCATTCTTATTCCATCCGCGCATCAGGGAAGGGAATGCACTGTGGATCTGTTTAGCGCACAGGCCTCTCATGGCATGTCTTGAAACACCAAGGAGCAGAAAGCGCAAAGCCAGGGATCAAAATCGCCACCTTAGCTCTGAGGCTGACTGAAGTAGACACATCAACACGCTTGCATTTGACGCCGGTCTTGTAGTTGCTTGTGATGCAGCACCATCAAGAATCTGTGTCCTGTCGCTTGTCACTTGATTTTTCTTTCAGAATTAACCGCACCGAAGTGTTTGGGAAATGGGCTTAAAGGTGGTCTTTCCTGTGTCTTTTTGCAAACAGAGGCAGGGGCTTGACTATCTTTGGCCAAGCATCCAGCAGCCAGCTCTTGCAGAGGCGTTTTGGTGTAGCACAGATCAGGCCAGCTACAAAGAAGGGGGCCAGAATCAGTTCCCAACACCGGGAGCTGCCTCCAAGCAAGGCAGCTCCACGACAAATCAGAAGTAAAAGGAAAGGTTAAATTTGGCCAAACTATGGAACTAGTGCCCTCTGGAGGTGCTACCACCTTTTGTTCATGATGACAAACAAAGTACTGCATATAACCGCGTGTACATACTTGCCTTCTCATTCAGTCAGAAGGAGACTTCATTTGATTCATTTTCACGGGAAATTGTGATTTTGTGTTTATGTCAGCAATCTGCCACACCTTCTGCGTTGTGAAACTATCTATCCAATGGTTGCTAACGAACCTCTTCTCCAGGTCTTGTCCGTTCCCTTGTGCTCCTGTTTGCCTGTCATCCTCTGTGGTTATATGGGTACCCATATGTTTGGTCTGGCCCGGCTCATGCTGGTAACTCCAGGTGGCAGAAGTTTCTCAGTCCTCTCGTTTTTGGATTGTATGGTTTGCCCTGTGCAAATGGCAGCAACAGCATCCATTCAACCCATTCCCATTGCCTCTCAGTGTACTTGCCTGGTGTTCTCTTGTCACATAAACAGCTTGTCTGGCCCTATACGTGCCGGAGTTTCAGCTTGGCTGGTGAGGTACATGTGTTTTTCTCATATTTCCTTGCATAGGTTGTCCCACTTGAGTGCATGTTGCCAGTCACAAGCTTGCAAACTTCAAGGTGGAACGCGAGGTATTTAATTCTGGCCAAGATTTGGCCTACTGACCTCCATCATTATTCTCTATCGTATCTCTGTTCTTGTTCTCTGTGCTGCCTAGAATGCCACGGCCAGATCTAATTTTTGTATAGGAACAATTGTGTAAGAAACATACTCGGATTTTTGTTTTATTTTTGTTGGGGGGTCTAGATGCCAGCTAGATGCTGCCCTCCTTCATTTTTCAGTGGATTTCTCGATGGTTTCATCGATTTTTCCATGGTTTTTATTGATGGCTTTCATCTACTTCGGAGGTTTTCATTGTTGTTCCATCGTTTGCATGTTTTTTCAATCCATAGTCTTTTATCGACTGTTTCCATGGTGTTCATCAAGGGGTAAGGGACGAAAGCTAGCTTGGCAGGGTGATGGGCATGAATCACAGAAGGTAGCGCAGCGGCGGTCTCTTTTGGGCGACGCGGAGGGTCATGTTCAAAGAGAAGCAGAACGATGCAGCCTTCGGCAGCTCTCACACACACATACTGAATGATATGGTTGAACCCGCGACCAAACTGCTTCCGAACCAGCCCGGGGAGGGGGGACGGGGGAGGGTAGTTAAGTGAGAAGTCATGTATGTTGGAGGGAACAAGGATGAGAACATATGATTCTTGCCTGCTGTTGCACGAAGCAAATGAAGACATTCAGCATAGACAAGATCATGACAACTGAGTCGGAAAATTCAAAGGTCCACCTTTGGCACCGGAGTGGACCTTTGGAAGCGCGGGAAGACATCACGCAGTGCGAGGCGACAGTTTAGGACGACAGATAGATGTGCGCACGCGACATGACAATGGAGCAAGGCCAAGGTTCCAGACAGCGTCAAGTGTGAAAAGGGCAAAGTTGTGAGGGTCTAACGTGAAGTGTAAAGTGTAAAGTGCAAAAGCGTACAGATTAAAGTGTGAGTGCCACGTGTAAAAGTAGAGTGTGGAGTGCCAAGTGTAGAGTGTGAAGTGTAAAGTGTAGAGTGTGGAGTGTGGGGTGTAAAGTGTGAAGCGTAAACTTTAGTGTGTAAAGCATGAGTATGGAGTGTAAAGTTTAGCGTGTAAAGTGTGGAGTGTAAAGCGCGTTAACAGTTAAGTGTAACATGTCGAATGTGGAGTGTAACGTGTAAGGTGTGGAGTGTGACGTTTAGCGTGTGACGTGTGGAGTGTAAAGTGCGTTAACAGGTAAGTGTAACATGTCGGGTGTGGAGTGTAATGTGTAAGATGCGGAGTGTAAAGTTTAGCGTGTAAAGCGTGGACTCCAGAGTGCGAAGTGTAGAGGGTGGATACCAGTGATCGTGCCAGTGCTTTTTACTGACCGTCTCCCGGGAGGGGTTGAGCCCACGACCAAACTGCTTGTGAAAGGAGGGGGGTAGGGAGCTGAGAAGTTTCTCGCGATTGGAGATTCCATCCCCCAATGCCTTGCTAAAGCAGGATGGACTTCAGCTAGCAGAAGCTAGCTTTCGTGATTTTGAAGGTTTTCATCTTTTTTTTTTCCATGAGGTTCATCGAATTATCGATGGTTTGTATCGATTTCTGGATTATTGTTTCGATGTTTGCACGGTGTTCATGGATGTTCCAAAGATTTTATCGAGTGTTCAGTGATCTTTATTGATTTTTTTGGATAGTTCCCATCGATTGATTTTGGAGGATTCATTGGTATTCCATTGTTTTCGGTGATTTCTCGATGGTTTTCAATGGTTTTCAGTGATTTTTTGATGGTGTCCATCGATATGTTGATGTTGTTCGTCGATTTGTCCCATGGTTTTTATCGTTTTTTTTCGATGGTGTTCATCGATCTCTGGTGTTCACCCGTGAACATGTAGAATGTAGGTCGAGGCACAACCGTGTTGGATGCATACAGTTTCATTGGGTGTTGTCATAGTGTTGGTTTAGGATTTATTTAGGGTTGGTTAAGGGGTTAATCAGGTTGGTTTAGGACTTATTTATGCTTCAAGGTTTATTTAGGGTTCGTTTAGGGTCCATTTAAAGTTTATGACTTCTTATTCTCATATATAATGCTGTAGGTTGAATATGGTACTTAGGGTGTGTATAATGCACAACATCCACCTTGTGAACATGTAGAATGCAGGTTGTATGATATAGGTATACACAGTTATAGCGCTAAGAGATTGAACCAGCACTGTTTTAAAGATGCTTAAATGCTGGCCAGAAAAGTTAAGGCCACAGAAACCCGAGAAACCACAGAAAAGAAACAAAAACTATAGAAAGCAAAATAATAATAATAAAAATAAGAAAAAAGCAACAAGGCAATCACAGGAGCCGAAAACGACAGAACGCTTGGAAACCAAAGAAGCCACATCATTCAAGAAGCCGCAGAAACAAAAGCCAAAAGCCAATCCTTCAAACAAAAAAAAACTCTCAACAGTCGGACCATAGTCTGTCTCGTTTGTATGCAAAGGTTCATACAATGTCTCCTGCAAAAACGGTCAGATTCACGGCCGAAAGGGCTTTGACATGTTCAGCCTTTGGAACAAAGACAAGCTTTTAGTGAAGCATTCACCCAAGAAGCAGTCTGGCATAGTCTCGCAATACTGACTGGGTATCCTCTTCATGCTGGCTGCTGGCTTAGGAAGGTGTCCCACACAAAGCCGGAGCCTTTCAGCTCACGAGATCGTCGGACCAAAAGGGGAGCAAAACTCATCTGAAAGGCACGAATTCCTTCGACCAAAAGAAGAGCAATGCCAATGGACGCCTCAAGTCTTGGAGGATCAGTTCATCGTAAGGATTGAAATTCATTAAAATTCCTTCCCTTCTGCAGCACCGCATCCAATGTAACAAGGAGAGTGGAGAAGGAAATACAAGAGTAGATTTCTACAGAATACAAACCTTGGCCAACATCCCAAGCAACTTTTTCCCAGCCCCATAGCCATAATACAAGCTGGACATGTGAGATTACTACTTCCAATTCATGTTTTCAAATGTCTTCCGGACTGCCAAGCCACAAAGCCAACCCATTCCCCAGTAGTCAAGTTCTGAGCACGGAATGGCTCCATCGACCTCCCCAGCTCCATCAGGATGCAATCCACAAATATGTAGATCCAAGCTCCGACCCCTTGGTCAGCAAAGAGATATAAGGAGAATTCAAGAGGTATGTGGTGTTCTTTGGAACCGAAAAAAAGAAATCCAAGACCCGTCCAACCTCAAATTGTGGCAGAAGGAACAAGTCACGAGCAGCACAAGTCTCGCTACAGGAACAGGTACATCATGATCTCTCATGGTACATCCCTTAAAAGATATGTCATAATATGTCACACAACAAAATTGTCTTTCGCAGCTTGGTCTCCCCAGATTTGGGCTGCCACAGCCAAGCATGGTGGCGCCATGGGCAAACAGCAGGTCCGCAAGGCTACCGAGATCTACCGAGGCTTGATATCTTCAAAATGACCAGGGCTAAAATCATGGGAAAAAATAGTTTCAATTGTCTGCAGTTGCTGTGCAAATAATTTCCGTTTCGGATGTGCTCGCTGTGCTTTCCATTGAGACGTGTGTCGGATGACTATCCGCCGAGTACATCCTCAGGTCACATGGTGCAGCAGTTGTTTCAGCTGCCCACAAGTTTGGACGAAGCGGCGGGATTCGGGCAATGTCAAGACATAATGATATTGTTTTGTAAGGATAAGTAACAACAATCCCAAGCACAAACACACGCGATGTACCATTAACACCTATTAACATCTACTAACATCTATTAACTATTAACATTTATTAACATCTATTATCATCTATTAACTTACCACAATTCAAGATAGCAACTGTTCTCAGCTCACTACTGCGCACATCTGTTTTTTAACACGAGGGGAATTCGGGTCAGGCGCTGGACGACGGCGGGGTTAGGCCCCTCCGGTGAGAATAGATACACACTTGATCGTAGCCAAAAGGTCGAGAAGATTGGGTCGAGGATCACCAGTCCATGTAGTGGAATGTAGTGTAGTGTAATGTAGTGTAGTGTAGTGGAGCGTAGTGGAGTGTAGTTGCGCAGTCGTAGTTGTAGTTGTAGTGTGGTGGGGTGTAGTGTAGTGTAGTGTAGTGTAGTGTAGCGTAGTGTAGTGTAGCGTAGTGTAGTGTAGTGTAGTGTAATGTAGTGAAGTGTAGTGGAAGGTAGTGTAGTGTAGTGTAATGTAGTGTGCTGGAGTGTAGTGTAATGTAGTGTAGTGTAGTGAAGCGAAGCGAAGCGACATCTGAACCTCCAAAAGTGGTCCAAACCCCTGGTGTTTTTAACATTTTGACTTCGAAACGTGCTTCGCGCCACAACGGCGTGCACTTTTTCGACATCTGAACCTCCAAAAGTGGCGCGAACATGTGGTGCTTTGTACATTTTCACTTCGAAATGTGCTTCGCGCCACAATGGCGTGCACTTTTTCGACATCTCAACTTCCAAAAGTGGTCCGACAATGGTGTGCTTTGTACATTTTCACTTCGAAATGTGCTTCGCGCCACAATGGCGTGCACTTTTTCGACATCTCAACTTCCAAAAGTGGTCCGACAATGGTGTGTTTTGTACATTTTGACTTCGAAACGTGCTTCGCGCCAAAATGGCGTGCGCTTTTTCGACATCTCAACTTCCAAAAGCGTGCTTCGCGCCACAACGGCGTGCACTTTTTCGACATCTCAACTTCCAAAAGTGGTCCGAAAATGGTGTGCTTTGTACATTTTGACTTCGAAATGTGCTTCGCGCCACAACGGCGTGCAATTTTTAATCTCTCATCTGGCCAGCTGGTTCCGCACCCGCCGCTTTAGCGAGCCTACTTTTCAACCCTCCGGAGCCACAAATCATTGGAAAAACACAGTGTTTCGCGACTTTCCTACCTTTTCGCGCGTCTGCATCTTCTTTCTTCTGACTCTTTCTCTTCTACTCTTCTCTCTTCTAATCTTTCTTTTCTCTCTGCCTCTGCCCTGCTCTGCTTTTCATCTGTCCATATTGTCGGAAGTTTGACTTCTAAACTTCCTTCGATTAACCTCTATTCTCATCGATCTACTTCCACAGACCCGTAGACATGTCATGAAATGCCTGGCAAACTGGCCAGGTTAGAAGCGGTTGCCAGCTCACGACACCTCCTGCTAGGTTTCCTGCCTGAAGCTCCACGGATGGTGACCTGAACTTGCGGGAGATCTGCTGTTCAAATCAATTCAACACAAGATCAAAGAGAATCTAGCAGAATCTAGCAGTCAAGCATTTTGAGACTTGTTAGATGAAACTAATACAAACGAAACAAGGTGAAAAGGCAGCATGACTATTGGAGGGGGAGTGTGTTGAAGGGGATAGGTTATATTAATTTATATTTGCACAGATATGATGCGCATGCCTTGAGGATGCCTTCAGGATCCTTGAGGCAAGGATTGGCATATTTCACCACAGGAGTCGGTCCCAACCAGGCGATCAAGGGGGCTGACTAAGCCTTTTAAGATCTTTTAAGCGCTTCCACGGCCGCATCCATGCATAAAAGGTGGAGGAGATAGGCTGAATTTCAGAATTCTGGCCTATAGCAGCTAGGGGTTGAACCCTTTTGAACATCTTTGCACGTCGACTGTCGGACGTGCAAAGTTTGACATCATTGGATTCAAATCTTCATTGACATCCTGCAATGAGAGAGGGGGAGAGCGACAGCGACACCAAACAAATCATCAGGATGTGCCTGGAGAGGTCCACAGTACCCTGGTTGGGAAGATACACGTATTCAAACAGTACATAAGAACGGTCTCAAACAGACACTCTGTCCTATCTTGTCCTCCAGTGCCAATCCCCATGCACAACAACAATCATTGGAAAAACATGGAAAAACAACTACATACAAATGACTCAGTTTAAGACAATCGAGTATGTGCGACCATGCAGACATATGCATCTGAGTCTTCTACACACCATATTGCTAAAACTACCATAATCAACGGCATGTATTCACAAGACCCCGTATCAGTGAGATGATTTCTACAAGTTTTCATTTGCTTGCGGAACGCACTCCTTCATGTGACATTTGCTTGTCAAAGTACTGTATATGAATATAATATAATGTGCCAAATTGTGCCAACAAATTTCAACCTCTGCTTGAAAAGAATCGTCCAACTCAGCTCCCAAACAAAAACTGGGTTTCAGGCGTCTTCACCGGCCAGGTACTTGCTGCTGCGCCTCTCAGCAGCAGGCTCCACTTCTTGTTGTAAACTTGACCCACTAAGCCACTAAGCCACGAAGCCATTCCTCATGGTGATGGATAAAAACTGATGAAAATGGATGGCTATGCAGTGGCACAAGTTAGCTGTGTTCAATTTCAGTTTCCACAGCGCAAATCTACCCCATCCAGACAGAACTCAGAGAACCCTCCAAAAGGTGGCCTTTTTCACCAGTCCTTGGTGCAAAGGAGTCCTAATTTCAGCGCATGCATGCAGGCAAGCAGGTAGGTAGGTATGTGGGTATAGTCGGATTAAGCGTTCCGCGCAGGGTTTCATAGCCAAGCGGGTTTCATCCCAATAGGTTTGGGGTAGGGTTTCGGGGTGTGGGGAGCTGAGGCCGCCTGTGTGCCCACCTTACATCTGTCATCTGTCATTTGGAAACAAAATGTGCTGAATGACAAAACGTGTGGGCTCTTCACGGTACGAAAGCAAGAAATATCTATGTGTCTATTATGTCTATGAGAATGTCTATGTAAATTTGTATGCATGTCTGTATGTATGTTTATACGGATCTATGTTGCTATATATATATATAAATATTGAATTGACTCCAATTAAGATAGGGACCGCACTTCAGATTTTTGAGCACGGACATATTCTGATCTAGCAGCACTGTATATGCCTGATACTTAATCCACCTTTGTTTGACAAAGCCACCTATATAGGTTTGTTTGCTTTGGTCACAAAATAAAGATCGTGCTCTTGGCACCCCGGCAGATCAGGGGTCTCGCCATTCAATATGCCCCTTGCTGGTAATGGGTTTGCTGCAATTCGACGGGGGGTATGCCAAAATTTGACATGGCTGAATCATAATGAATCTGCAGTTTTTGTTTGTTTGGAATTACCAGCTGGAGGGAATTGACGACAAAAACAACCATGCTGCATTGCAAAGGTTTTTAGGGAGCCTCCAGGTCAGCTGCTTTACATATGCACCCGGCAAAAAAATAGCATTATGTGTAACGTCGTGCACATGTCTTCTCCCGCCAATCGAGTCAATTTGGGATGGAAACAATCTGTGCCTCAAGGTGGCTTCCAAGATTTGCACACGATGTTGCAGATCAAGACGTTCACCCTCTGCCTCGACAAATCAAAGCAAGTGAAGAAAGTCTATTTAGTAAATTCGACCGAAAACATAGGTTTAGTAGCATTACGCCCAGACACCTAGTCTCGCCCAACATCACTTTCAGGTTTCGAAGTTTTTGGGAATTAAGGTTTGGGCGTTTAGGTTTCAGAGTTTTGCACGTTTAAGGCTTGGGGCTTAGGTTTTACCGTGTCAGGGTTGAGGATGACTTGTATCAATGACGCCCACAGTTCACCTACCCGAGTCTTGCAGGAATGCCAAAACGACCCACTACTTACACTGTTTTGAGAGTGCCTCGGGCAAGTTTAGGTCTTTGGCCGTAGCATTACATTAAGGATGTTGCATGTATATTAGGTAAATGTTTGTTGAAGAAAAACATAGAAAAATTAAAGTAAACCCCAAAAATGAGACAAATCATGTGTTGGGCGGATTCAAAATGAGTTTTTAACGGTGGTAACGACCACAACAAAACAAGCAATAACCCGATGCCAGAATTAATGTGAATCATGGCGTGCCTTTCGAAATTCTGCAGCAGTGCGCCGAGACAAACCAGTCCTCGCTAAGTTCGAAGTAAGAAAAACGGATCGAAATGGTTTGCAGTTGCAGAGCAATGGTCATTATGTTGAACATGTTTTGCATGTACAACATCGGAAAAAAATCAATGTGAATGTCAACGTGCAATTCTGGTCCAATATTTAACTGAACGTACTAAATTTATCAAACTGCGCATGCCATTCTTTTCGCAACATTTTCGTCAAAATTACATGGGTTTGACAAAACCCACTTTGTGATTTTTTGTCTGTCAGGCAACAATGTGCGCGTTGACATGCCGAGGACAACAACTGTTTCTGAGAACGGAACAGTTTTTGTTCCAAGCTGGTGGCAAGCGATGCCTGTGAGCACTGAGATGCACGTGAATCAACGCCATTTCCAATCACACATAGATCTGAACGTGCCTGGGAACTTATCCAACAAGCATATCGTGCCAACGTTTCATCCACCATGGCAATCAGATCGAAATCTAGAACAGAAACAAAAAATGATCAATATGGCATTGACAATCATGCAACAAAAACATCCATGTTGTGGTGGAAAACTGGTGAACAAACGAATGGTTTTAAAATTTGACGCATGACATCTTCGCATGACCCGTGGAAAATGAATCTAGCACCAGTTTCCACATTTTTCCATGTTGTCATTTTTTCTTGGTTGTGGTTGTTGTGGATCGTGGCTGGTGCAAGGATGCTAGACAAATGGCGTGGCAACAATTGACTGTACTTGCGTTCGCACAGACAGTTGCGCATCATCAGACACCGTAATCTTGGACAAATGATGCTACTACCATAGTTGGAAAACCGCCCAAATTGATGAATGTGTTTTCCCTACACCAAAAATTTACGAACAATTCAGTTTTCGCGGTCACAAACCATGCAATTTATTGGGTTCCAACGCCGATCATCAAACACCCTGGTGGTTGCAAAAAAAATGTCAAAACGACAAGACTGGTGAAACGCATCCAACCTGATTTTCCTTGCAAAATTGTATCGACCATGTTGCATTCATGGCGTTTCTGCCCGATCAGATTTGTTGCTTTCATTTAATGAAGGATTATGAGTCTTGGAACCGCAGGCTGCAGCATACAACTGAAGGAACTGACATCTTGCAAGGCAAATGTGATGTTGACACTCAAGAGGATCGCACTCACGCCTTTTTGCAAATTGGGACTGCGATACTGGCCTGTCTTCAGGCTGTGGGTTTGGCCACAAGAATTGGCCTAAATGTCCAAGAAAACGACAAGTTGAGTCTTGAGCGCTGCCAAGTGCCAGTTTGGGTGGCAGAGGGCGGGGCAACTTGACAGCACTCAAAATAGAAAGATGTTCTGAATCCACCATTGCTCAAAAATTGTAAATGATTCACCAGTGATTCACGTTGTCAAATGTCAACATGCAAGACATGGATTGTGACATGAAGACTGTAGCAACACCGTTGAGCCAGCCTGTTGAAACGCATCCAATTCTTCCTGCCACTCATAAGTCACTATCATTCCATGACCGTTTGATTATGAGTCTTGGAACCACAAGTTGCAGCATACAACTGAAGGAACTGACATTTTGCAAGGCAAATGTGATGTTGACACTCAAGAGGATCGCACTCACGCCTTTTTGCAAATTGGGACTGCGATGCTGGCCTGTTCTTCTCCCTACCTTCCAGCATAAGCCAGTAACGCAGCCCAACATTGAGACGCATCCACATCGCAAACGCAAGCACCAAGTTCCAAGACCCGTTCAACTTTCAGCCTTGACGGCCCATCGGCCATGTTTGAGTCTATAGGCACCCTGGCGTACCAGGGGGTGAGCTGCTTCTCACACTCCAAACCAAACGTAGCAACTAAGATCCGTTTAGCAAGCCCATTAGTTGTATGCCCTGCAATCAGCGCGTCTCTGACAGCATTGTTGTCTGTATATCACCACTGCATCGGAGATCACATCACCCCAAACGTAGAAGGCGCAGAAAAGAGCGAAAAATTCGCACTCGAAGATAGCATTCTTTTTGCCAGTAGGATTCAAGGACTGTATCATGTCACAAGACAACTGCTTCGAGAAAAACTGCACAGGGGGTAAAAGAGCACCGCACCGATGCCAGAGAAGGTTCCGTCGTCAGACGGTTCATACGACGCGTCAGTCTGGAGAAACCACACTGAGTTTGAAGAAGGGCGAAGTTCACGCGGTCTGCCAAGTTCTAGGAGCTTCACATGTAACCGCAGAGCCATGATTGCCTTGTCATCAAGCTTGGGTGTTCCACAACCATATGCGTGTCATGCCACGACTGACAAAGCCCTCTTTGCAACCCGTCCAAAGATGTTACCTGCAGCAAACTGCAGGCGACCTCGTAGTTTCAACGCCTCATGGCGTGTCAAACGACGCTCCTTCAGAATTTCAAGCAAGGACTGGATGAGCTCGTTGCGCCGGCTCTCTGTATTGCTAATTGTCACCAAACCATTTTGCAGCGCGCTTACATTGATCACAACACCAAGTGCTTGAAACATCTCAGCAAAGTCAGGCGGCCTTGCTCCGGACTCAGCAAAGTCCCAACCAACCAATTTGAAGAACATGTGGATTCAATGTGGATGCCCTAGGCAACTGCATTCGTCTCCTCATCTGGCGCACGGACAACAAAATCGTCGAAATAGTTGGTGGTCAGGACTGTGAACTCCTTGACCAAAAGGAACCACACGCTAAATGAAGCCCGCAAAAACGAATGGACTGACCTAACAGCTCCAAACGGAAGCGCGCGCATCCGGAACGCGAAAATTTCCTGGGAGATCGGGTGTTGAAGTGCGCTGGTCTGACTGCGCACTGTCTGTATGCCCCAACCAAATCAAACGTCCTGCCTTTCCACCTGTACCGCTCTCCAGTGGACCCCATCGCCATGTCACAGGGCTCCAAAGACATCCAAAGTATGGGGCTTTGGACTCTCGCACGTCTGAACGCAACTGTTCACGGAGGACCGTGTGAAGCCATCGATGCAACGGATTTTCTGACCCTGTTGCATCCCAAACCTCTCACTGAGAGGGTAACTGTCAGGCACATCACACAACTTGATGGGCCCCACCAAGGTGGCAGCGTCAACCTCTTCCAAAGTCTTGCGCCACACTTCATCAGCATGTGGCACGGCACCCGCGAACTTTTGGTGCAACACACTCCTTTCGTTAGCAATTCCCCCCGACGATGCACCATCCGAACCCTCGATACAGATTGTAGGCCAATTCGATGGCAGTTGTACGCACGAAGATGAATTGGGAGGAGCTGGATATGTTGTCTATGTCATCGAAGGTGGTCGGTCTCGCGTAATTGCATGTCGGTCAGTCGCTCTGCCGCATTGTTCAGATAATATAGAAGCAGAAATCATGGCCTGCTTGTATCTTGTTGAAGAAGTTGCTGTTGTCGTTAAGCAGCGTTTATCGAGCCGCGGCCTAATGCCCAAGGTAGTCATTCAAGGGGACATTCTCCCTGTCATTAAGTACTTTCAATTTGCAGGCCGTCTTCGGAGGATAGATATGCACCAACCATTGGAAAGCATCCGTTCAACCGTGAGTCTGCATCTCCCGGGTAGTCTATTCATATACCTGCCGAGAGTGGCCAACGGCATAGCAGATGACTTGGCTGGACAAGCCACCCAGTTCCTGTTGGCTAAATATAGGCGCAACCCCGCTACCTTCAATCGGAATGCTGGACCGGTGTCCATCAAGCCATCATTCCCAACGGGCCTCTTTCAGGTCGGAGGCTTTCACATTCAAAGTTTTGATCAAACCTGGAGCCAGCCCATACTTACCCTAGTAGAGAGGCCCAGCATTGATCACGGCCTTCTCCGAAAACATGTGACCCTCCACCCCCATCACCGCCAGCTGATCGAATCCTATCTCTCTCCGTGTCTCCCGCAAAACTGCAGTATTGAAATTGACTATTCCCCCAAAGCTGCTGACAACTACGGACGAAGATATTGCTGCACCATAGGAGGCCAGCGACTACCGCGTGCTGCCAGGCTGTTATTGTTCGGACAGAATCACTGCGAAATTGACCTCAAAGGATCTTTCTATGAACTTGTTCGACGCCTGGGGCTACGTTTTGCGCCCGATTTGGTACCCCTCCCAACCATCGATGAGTTCCGCGCGCAGCTAGCCCGAGACCCCTATATTCAGAAAGTTGAAGCAGTCTGCCCTGACACCATCAAGCAACTCCCATTGAGAATTATCAATAGCTCCCTAGCTGCTACATACCGATATCTCAGTTCTCTGGTTGACGACTCCCCAGTGCGAGTGTTAGCGCAATCCTCTGCCAACTCGAGTCTCTAAGTACAACCCTGACAACTCAGTTGCTACCGCGTTTCCGCCCAGGTTTCCTGGTCAACCATAATGACAGCGCTTTTCGATTGCTAGAGCACTTTGAAGCCACAATTGTTGAGGACACCATTCGTGCACTCATTGCCCGCCACCCAACACAATCTTTGGTGTGGCTACACGATGGTTTCTTGGTTGCTCCCCCGCCCCCTGAACAAATGCTAAGGCAGATCGAAAAAGAAGTTCTATCCAATCACCAGCTTTACCTTGGTCAGACATGGTTTAAAGTTACCTCCCTTAGCACAGCACGCGAGGCATATGTAGACACCCTCAAGCATACCGCCAGTAGCCATGCCCTGTCCCTCACCCGTCGCGCACCCCACAGCTCCCAACGTAAACACCGCAGTGCTCAAGGATCGCCCCATATCTGCGCCACGCCTTTGGAAGCCCTTGCCAAACTGCGTGCTCGACGCGAACGCCCGACGGGAGTGAGTTAAAATCAAGACCAACCCCATGACCTAGCCTACCACTCCCCAGGCAGCTTTAGGCTGCTGCAACGTAGTTATTGCTGACTGAAACCTCCTGTTCTCAGGTAGCCCTCATCAGCTCACTACCTTATCTGTACCCACCCTCTGCCGAGTTAGTTCTCATGCCTCATGTACATTGGTCTTGTCCGGTGGGGTTGGCTCCCAGGGGTACCCTGGGTAGCCCTCCCCACCTTTGCAAGACCCATGGGGACATCATAATACTAAACCTTTAGCCTCGGGTAGTCAATGACCCATTCCCTCACTCAGCTAACGAGCCCAGAGAGGTACATGCGCACCAGCTTTAACCTGAAGGATTTCAAAATAAGGACGACTATTTGCGGCCCACTAATGATATGGCACTGCAAGGGATTAAGTAGTCCTGTGGATAAGACCCAGGGTCAGCCGTCCGCGGAAACTCAGCTAAGCTCAAATACCAATCTGCAAATGCTAATAGATTGACAGGCTGTAGTAACTGCTCAACACGACTATGTCCACCTCCCAGTTGACCAAAAGTCCATCCCGCAGTATCGCTCCACTATGCTTTTACCTCCTGTTTGCCTCTTTCTGGGTGTTCAGAGGAAATCAACCTCCCACCCTGGGGAAAAGGTGGGGGGGAAAAAAAAAAGAAAAAAAACAATAC